AGTAAAATTTCTTAAAAATGATCCTAAGATGGATATTTTTTTGCTTTAGAAAAAAATGTGAGCACATAAATTGAAGCTTAATTTTTCAGCTTTCAGATGCATTTTACAGAAATCGAATAACTCGACGCGTTCAAAAGTTATTTGAAGGAAAAGTAATGAAAGTATCAAATTTTCAAAATTTCAAAATTTTGAACTGGTGTAATTTCTAAACTATTTGACCGATTAAGCTTATATATTTGAACTTGACCTTCCTAATAGTCGATAGAATAAGTATGTTGAGTTTCATTAAGAATTTTTGACGCTATCATCGTGACAAGCCGCGTTATATCGTATATATATATACATACATATATAAACTTTTGAACCATATGTATTTTCTGACTCAGATTGTCGAGTTAGGTCGAAATATAGTAAAATTAACGGAAAATTACGTCATGAGGACAAATACAATAGTTAGATTTTTATAAAATCTACTGAAAATTTCTCCAATGTTATATTCGGTTTTCAAACATTTGATTGTACTTGAAGAACCATTAGTAAACTTTCACTGTACACTGAGAGAAAACATTTCTTTTGAAGTAAGTAGGTATTATTGTGACAAGAAATTAATTTGTTTATAATTTTAAACAATTTTATTTCTCAGATAAAAAAATTAAAACTTTTTTCACAGTAACTTTCTTGTTGAAAAAAAACTTTTTTTCTGATTTGGCAAAAAAACAATTTTAGATAGACAACTTGCGAATTCTTATCCAAAATTTATAAAACTTATTCAACAAGAAAGTTTCTGTGAGAAAAATTTTTATTTTTTCAGCTAAGAAATAAAATTGCTTCAAATTTTCAACAAGTTAATTTCTTATTACAATATTGCTCATTTTTTTCAAAAAAAATTTTTCTCTCAGTGAAATCAATTTTTACTGGGCTTTTTGTGAGACTTTAACATCGTTCGTTTAAAATCAGTAAATGTTCAGAGTTCTCTTTAGATTAAAGAATATTTGTGTAACTCGTAGATTATTACACCGAGAAACCTTGTTTCATTTCAAAAATTGAGTGCCGTTTCTTTGATTACCAATTAAACTCCATTTCTCCACAAAATAAATTCATAAAAATTTTCATGTCCTTTAAAAAATATTTTCTTTTATATTTAGCTATCTACTGAATTATGTAGTTCTATAAAAACAATTTAGGGCGAGTTTTTCAATCCGAGATAAAATTTTATCCAGGATAAAGTTATTATTGCCAGTATATTTATATATATGATATATATAGATATACTTCATCATTGAATAAAATTTTATCCTGGATTGAAAAACTGGCCCTTAAACCATTAGAGTATTTTTATAAATTTTCTACCGCTAAATTTTATTTGCACATAGCCATCACTTTGAAATCTTTAAAAAATTAAGTAAACCTGAAGCAATATTTTGCCATAAAGTAATCCTTGTTTCGAAAATTGTCTTTAGATATAAAATTGTATTTTTTTTTCAAAAAATATGACATAATATTTTACTATCTACAAAATCTAATCACTTCATGAAGACAAATCAGTTATTATTTCAATGTATAAAATCAAAAAAGTATTAATTTACTTATAAATAGAAGTAATAGCTTAAATAAACATTCTGAGTTTTCAAAAAAAATTAATTGTTTAATTAAAGAGTGAGTTATTTAATCTTATAGAAAAAAAAATACTCCTTGAATAAAAATTTTTTACATTTCTAACGGAGAATGAACTTACAAATAAAAATATCACTATATAGATTTGTAAATGGTTTTATTAATAAATTATTCTTTCTTAATTTTTTTTTTTTTTTTTTTTTTTTTTTTTTTTTTTTGATAAGGATTGCTCGAAACAAACTAATTTCTTGTTTACGGTAAAAATTTACATCAACAATTAAAACAAGTAGACAATGGTTGTACTTTATTATGTATGGAGACTGTAATATTCAATCGGCTAAAGAAAAAAATAGACTGCCGTACAGAGAAATTGTTCGAGAGAGATACAAAAAAAATTACAATTGATAGTACTTATTACAGATTGCGCGGAATTATTATCAGATAATAATTTATTTTATTCTTATTTACTTACATCATAATTTATAATTCATAATATCCACACAAGCTGTAATCAATAAGGGGTTTACAGAATTTGGACCTGTACACGTTAATTATTCATGATACCTAATATAAATTTTCGTTTTCAAAGTCTTGGAAAATTTGGATAAGGCCATAACCAATCTGGCAGCAAGAACGCGCCAGGTCCTCGTGTCTACCACAATATTTTACTTTATTTCATTTTTTTTTATTTATTTATTTTTTTTTTTTATTTATATTATAAAACCGATTCTCTCCTACATTCTCACACTGTCTTTTCGTTCATTCATTTTTACAGTCAAGTAGTTTTAATTCCATTGATTCAGTTATTAATTATTATTATTTTTTTTTTTTTAAGTTAGTGCCGTCCGTAAGTCATATAAGTCTTCATTATTTAAATAAAAAATCTGTCATATAATCTTTTTTTCTTGCGCCGATTGTTCAATAACTTAATTCATATATTTATTAATTAATTATTTCTTATTGAATCAGCATTTATTAAATTAATATTAAAATTGTTTTAGTCAAAATTAAATGATAGTATTCTTTATATTTTTCAGTTTCCCTCACACACCATTCACAAAGCAGTAGATCAGCGCAAAGAAAAGTTTTGGGACAGAAATTTAACAGTTATCTCCTTTAAAATTTCAATAAATTTTTAATAATCGAATTTTCGTGTCATTAAACCGTAAAAGGTCGCATTGATTGTCACATATTTTAACCGAAACATAAATTATCTCATAATAGATGAAAATTTTTTTTGTTGAAAATTATTTTTTTAATAAAGATATCCTAACATTTAATTACAATTTAAAAATTCGAAGAAATTTAAGCTTTTAACAGTTGTGTCTTTAAAATAATGTTTGAAAATGAAGAGTAATAAAATAGAAATATTTATATTAGGGTGACACAAAAAAACACTGGCTAATTTTTTTTTCGAGACTTCTAAGAATATATATTTATTGTCTCGTATTTTAAAAGCCTTCTCTCAAAAACAACTTGATAAAAAATTTTGAGGACTCCCTCAAGATTTTGTCAACATTCAAAGATGCTGGATAAGCATTTTTGAACTAAAATACAATAGTAATGATTACTTTTCTGATTTTTATTAATATTTCACGTTTTACTTTTATTCTTCAGCATCACAATTTGATAGAAAAAAATTGAACGTTGATTGGTACTCATATTCATTTAGAATTTGCTCGAAAACACTTTGAGTACTCTACTTTGAAAGTGTAATAATATTGAGCGACTCCTATAAAATTTTTTATCGAGCTGATTTTTGTAGAAGACTCTTAAAGTATGATAAACTGATATATTTTCATAGGAGACGAAAAAAATTATTCGGTTTTTTGCGCTACCCTAATGTATATAGAAATAAACCTTATAAATATCAGTTCAATCTTGTAGCGATATTTTTATCTCTTAGACCGAAAATTGCACGTCAATACTTACATCCTCGCAATTAAAATAACAAATTTTTATTGTCAGTCAATTTCAATATATTTCTAATTTTTAAATAAAAATACAAAATAATTAAAAAAGAAAAAAAATACACAAATAATATTTATAAAAACCAAAAATTAATGAATTATAGAAGAGCATACACTCACTTGAATTATCAATAGTTGATTAAACGAAATGATATAATGTATATTATATATAATAGATAAAAAATATCGAAAATGGAATTATACAATTAGTTTCAAAAAATTAATAATAATGATAATATTAATAATTTCATTGTCGCTTTGGTAGGCGCACATAAGTGGTCCACAGAGATCACTTTTCATTTAATATAAAACAAAAAGATAAAACAACAACGATAGATTGAGCCTTTTCTGGTTTCTATAAGTTAACAATAACATTCGTATTGTTGATGACATGATTTCGTTATTAAAAAATTTAATTAAAAACTAATAAACCAATGTGACAACGACCGTACAAGTGAGATGGCTGCTCAATTAAAAAAAATTTTAACATTTAATTTATTTAAATAAAATTATTAAAAACAATTTAAAATTATCGTTGAAATATTGATCGAACAGTATTTAAAATATCTATTAATTATAATTATTAATTTTATTATTTCTGTCCCAAAAATATAGTCTCATGCAATCTCTATTATTGTATTGATATCTAATTTTTTTTATTTATCATTTTTTTTTTATTTCTTCATTAAACCTGTACAAAAATTGATTCCTCATTTTTATTTTTTTTTTTTTTTTTTATACTTATTTGACGTTATCATTATAATGTATTTAAAATGTAACTTATGTAATCTTATTAACTGTTTAACGACAGCTGCATTCCAGCATGACCAGCCTTTGGTCGACTGGAGCTAACAGACAAATACGCTCCTTCGAGAGTTTAAATCCCGTCTCTATATTATAATCATAACTCTGCATCATATCATTATCATTACATTCAAACTTCGACATTACTATTTAATGTACTGACAACATTTCTAATTCTCTATCTATATACTCTATATAAAATATCGTTAGTGTAACTAAAACGTGTTGGGTCTAGCTGGAATGCAGCCCTTATTTATCCTTAAACAATTCATTCTTACATTTCATTCCATTGTCAATAATATTATATCAATATCAGTTACTTTTTGTGTTTAGTGTTGCATTTACTTGCAATTACGTCCTTATGTATTTCATTTTTTTTTTTTTATGTTTTGTATTACTCCACAGACAATTATTTAATTAATTATTAATTTTTTTTCTTTCAGTCAATGATTTTTGTAATTCATATCACTAACTGTAGTTTGTCATTGGTCAATAAAGTTTGATTCCCAGCTAGTCTCACTTGGCGGCGTAATTATTAATTAATAAATTTATATACGAATTTTACACTCATTCAACATTATTTATTTATTAGCAAATCCTTATGTCTAGGTTTTAATTCCCTGGCTCACTTCCGTCTTCATGTTTTCTTTTCTTTCCTCGGGCTGGTGATGATTCTAGATAATAAAATTTAATTTTTACTTCATTAGTTTATTTTTATGAATTAATCTTCTATTATTAAATTTAAAATAAATTTTTTTTTCAGTATATTTATTTTGAACTTTTGCTAAAATTAATTTTTATTTTTTTCAACAAAATTAATCGAATTTTAAAATTCAAGGGTTACTTCTTAAAATGTAAAATCGTAACTGCAAAACAACTAATTTTTGGAGCAAATGTTAACTTTCTTGTTATTTTGGCGATATAATAAAAGAAGATCGAACTATAATTTAAAACTTTGATAGTCATAACTCAAACTGATAATAATACTGAAATATTCAAAAATTTTCAATAAATGTATAAACTATAACTACCAATACTGAAAATTTTATTGAAAAAAATTGACAATAAATATTTCGAGGTTTTTTTTTTTTTTTCAAATAAAGAAATAATGTCTTTTCATTGCATTATGATCGTTCCATTTTTATTAAAAAAATTTCTTTCTTTTGATAATTTGTCAATTAATTTCCTTTAAATTTTAGAACATGAACATGAGTGAAAAAAAATGAACCACTTAACTATTAAAGTATTGAATTTTGTTAAAATATGAAAAATTACTTTACAGTTATAAAGTTAATGTTAAAAAAAAAAAAAAAAACAATATTAAGTAGTTGAAACTGTTGTAGAATTTTTCAGTATTGCAATTCATAATTTATTTACTATGTGACTATTATGTTATGTTAAAATTTATAAGCACTATGCTTACTCATTTAATTATGTAAATATCACAAGGCAAAATGATTTTTTTTTACTGAAAAAATACTCCAGATAATAAAAGAATTCAATAACAATTAATGATTAATTGATAAACGCACCTTCAATAGCATTGCCGTCTTCTCCATCTTGGTTACCTTGATATTCTTCATCATCGTCTTCATCTTCTTCATCATCTTCCTCTTCTCCTCCATATTCATCATCTTCACTGTCATTCTACAATATAGAAATAAAAAAATAGTTAAAATCGTAAAGAAATAAATTAAAAATACTTCAAGATTTAAATGAATTATCAGCTATCAGCTATCACTTACAATATCTAAACCACCCTCCTCATCATTGAGGTCTTTGTCGTCTTCATCCGACATATCTTCACTGTCTTCGTCACTATCATCTTCATTGGCATCACCATCACCATCATCATTTCCATTTACTTCATCATCTTCACTACCTTCTTCATTACCCTCACTGTCGTCAACTTCACATTCATCCATGTCAAATCTAAAATCAGAAATTCAATTAAATAAAATATTTATGAAACTGAAAATTTTTTAATTATATCAAGTATATATATATTACTATTTAAAATCCTTACCCATCAAGATATCTTAAACTAGGAATTAATCCGAATACTTTCTCTCTATAGTTATCCATTTCTGTTGCTTCATTATTGAATAAATCTAAGTTCTTGAGGTTTTGGAATTCTTTCTATAAAAATAAATAAAAAAAAAAAAAAAAAAAAAACAATTATTTAGTGATTCAATAATTATAATTTAATCATTTTAATTAGGTGAACAAACCGAGCCTCTACATTGATGAAAATTTTACTTTTTGTAATAAAATGTAGAAAAAACATCCAACACCCAGCATCCTAAATATTAACTCGAACACAATTAATCATAATCATGAGTAAACAGGATTAACGGGTATTTATTAGTGAAAAACAGTTAAGATTCGCTGAGGTTAGTTACTAATGTTTTATTGTCTATTATATTTTATTTATTATAGCATGTATATGTAATTCAACAATTATTTAAATGATTCAAAAGAAATGTTCTTTACACTCGTGATCCTGCTTACTTATTGAATAGATCTGGAAGTGATCTTAACAATTAATAATTATTGATACTCATGTCTAAATAAGTTATCAATGATCATTTTTGAAAAAAGTAATTCGTACAAATTAATAAAATAAAAATTTTTCCTTTTGATGCATGGCTTGGTGAGTCGTTACAAAGTTGGGCTTTTAGCTAGTATAGTTAAATATATTTTTGACTTACTAATGGTTGTAGTGTTTCAAGATCTTTGATTTTATTTCCACTAAGATTAAGATGAGTTAACTTAGGGCTTGACAGCAGAAAATTCAAACCTCCGGAGATTCGATTATCACTCAGTTCTAACTGTTGTAAGAAAAAAATAAAAATAATTAGTACATTGCAATAAAATTATAAAATTTATATAGAATAAAAAAAAATTTTTTTTTATAATTTATAGAAATTAGTGAAGTTATATATTTTACCTTTCGGAGATTTGGTAATACAGGGAAACCTTTCAGACTTGTTAATCCTACATTGATTAAACTTAAGGATTTTAATGCCACGAATTCATCTGTAAGACCCACGATATTTGTACTCCGACAATTGTCAAGTACAAATTCTGTTATCTATAAAATAAAATGTTTCATTAGTATTTATTGAAAGAAATCATTACTAATCATAATCTGTGTACAACTAAAAAATTTGTTATCATCATCATCAGTTTCATTGAAATGTCTACATTTTATATAACAAGATTAAAAAAAAAAATTAAATGATACATTGAACAACAGAAATAAAAGCAATTGTGAAAAAGCACAAAGTAAAGTTAAGATGATTAATGAGCATAACGTGTTAGCTATAAAGTTGTTAATATTTTATTAATTTTATCTTATTAACTGAAATGATGAACTTATATCTTGGGATTTTGATTATTTATAACTAGCGAAGAACTTTCTATTATTTTTTATTGTTTTCCGATCATATATTTTAACGCAATTGAAAAATTAAATACGAAACTTGCAGCTTAGATTCTCATTGTTTTACACAACTTTAAATGATTTTTAAAATTCGTAGTAAAAATTTCTGATATCGGGTATAAAGTAAATCACTCTGTGAAAAATTTTAAAAATCAATAGGTTGAAGTTCCTCTAAAAATTATATATTTAATTTCTTAATTGGTAGAAGTCACTTTAATTTGAACAATAATTTATGACAAAAATTTAGAGTTTCAAATTTCAGTAGACTGAATTCATAGAAACTATTGACTTTTTTCTGACTCAACTTTTAGAAAATTTCATCATTTTCCAGATCAGCTTTCTTGGATAATTTGAGAGTACGACAAATTATAGCATCTATGTAAAAAGTAATCAAAATTCATTATTCAAGTTTGATCTTATGGGAATGTGAAATTGAGGCATTAGATAAATTTAAATAAGTGGTTGAGCAAAACTTTAAAAAAATTAAAACACAGAAAGAGTCTTTTGAAATTTCTAAGTGCATTTTGTTTTATATGATTATTTTTACCATGATTAAATTAATTTTAGAAAAATATTTCAAAAGTCTGCTAAATCATACTAATTTATTTTTTTATATTCCTATACAGAATTTCTCCAACTTTGGGTGTCGAACGACATTTTTTTCATCAATTTAATCTATAAGCGCACATACAGATTTTCGATTAAATCTATTTTATTTAGCAAACGAACAATTCAATCCTTATATTATATAATATAAATCATAAGTTTATTTTTAATCCAATCATAGACCTTGACATCAGCAAATTCAAATGATATTGTTGTAAAAATAATTCGCATTTTTATCTTTTGTTTTATTTTTGTTTATTATTATTATTATTATTATTATTATTATCATCATCATCAAGCTTATATCTATCGGCTAAATAAAGAAAAAAACTATTGGTCCTATACAATCGTAATAATGATGGCGCTTTTTAAAATAATGAAGACCCCGCGCATTTATTCATTTATTATACACACCACTCGTCGTTCAGAAAAAAATAATATATTTTTGTTAGATAACAAAAAAAAATTAGATAGTAACAATAATTATTCATAAATTAATATAATTTTTTAAAATACTTTTAATAAATAATGTTAGCATGCTAGCCGGTATACTCGGCACTTGGTAACAAAATGGACTCGTCCAATGTAGCGATCGAGATTCCGTCATTGCACTTGTCACTTAATTTGAATATAATATTACAATATAAATTGTTAACCTAAATGTAAATAAATAAAAATTTTTAAATTAATAAAAAAAACTGAGTAATGAATGAATTAATTGTCTGATTATTGGGTATTTAAAATAATTTTTTTCAGCTTTTGTATATCAAGTCAAGAGTGTTGAGTCGAGTTTGTAAACACCAATATGTCGGCTAGTTTGTGAATGTAATGCGGCATAACAATCACGACGATCATTTACACGCGCACACTTCTTATATCTAGACGATTGCTCATGGCACACACAAGCCTGTAATATTCACTACACGCTTCTAATTGATTTACATAATACATTTTAGTGTTATGTGCTGAAAATTTCTTCCTGAACTGTCTGTTGTACCAGTAGTTTATTTTTTTTTATTCTACGTCATTTTTCTTCACTGTCATAAAACTTGAACGCCGAAAAAATTATAAATAATTTCTTTAAAATAATAATATAAATTTCATTGATTAAACATGAATATGATTGTAAAACGCCTGATAATTTAAAAAAAATTTAGAAAAATTCTACAATTTTTAATTCAATTGAAAAAATTTTCAAAAATTAGCTGCTGACTTCACTAGAAATTAAACTTTTACGAGTAAATTATTAAATTTTCAGAGTGTTATTTGGTGTACCAATCGATTTTGGATAAAATTTTATAGCGAATTGTAATTATGAAATTGACGAAAATTTATTTAGTTATTTTTACGTTGTTTTATTCTAAAAACTTTATATTTATAAACTTTGCACTAAATAAGAAATTATAAGAAGTTAAGTTCAAAAGTTACAACTCTAAGATATAAAATTTATAGAGTAGAGTAATATGTACTTTGAAAGCCATAACTTTTCAATTATTTTTGATCTATAATTCAATGACCTGTGAAATTTTATCTTCAATAATTTAAAAGATATTCATGATTTGAGCCTTTGGAGCTGAAAATCATTAAACACTTTTTTTTTTTTTTTATTGAATCAATGACAAAGAATGGTAAAAAATTTTGAATGTAATATTTAAAAACATCTGTTAAAAAAATATTTGAGAATTTTTCAGGAAATAAATCGGTCATAATATAAATGAATTTTTTTAGTGACCTAGTTTCCAGAGCATTAGGACTGTATGTCACTTGAGAAAGTGAACATGTAACTTAAAAAAAGGAGTTAAGAGATAATAAAGAAAGGGATAGAGTAAGCGAGTAATTAGCTAAACGTCATAAAACTGTGAATTTTTTATTATTTAAACGTCTTTAATACTTTTACTATCCCCCATTACGAGTTGATAATTTTAACCCTTTATCTATCACGTTATTTTATTTATCAAATTAAATAGCTTTAAAATCACATTTGTTGACACGTCTACGAGTTTTATGGCTAAAAAAATTGTGATTAACATCAGGCATTCAAAAATCTTTACATATTTCAAATCATTTATTTGAATATTTAGTGAAAAAATTAAAAAATATATAAAAATCACATTTTATAATTTCATTGATTTCAAATATTCAATAATTTTTATCTGTTGATACAGTACTAAAAATTTTTTAATTTAATTTATAAAAATTCATGTAAAGAATAAAAAAATTTTGTACATGTATTTTTTTACTTAAATATTTAACAATTTTTCAATTTTCCACTATAGAAATCCAAAATTTGAAAAAAATAAAAAGGTATTGTTTAGTAATAATTGTTTAGAATCACTATTTCTATTTAGCTTGAAATTTGAAATTTTTTTTCGGTACATTTAATAATGTAATTAATACATTAATGTAAATTGTAATTTTTTGGATTAAATTAAATTCGTAAACTTGAAATAAAGCACGTTTTTTTTGTAATTAAAGAAATGTTAGTTTATTTTCTTTGAATTCTTTTTCTAGATCAACTTTAAGAAAAAGCTAAATTAAATTGATTTTTTTTTAGTCAAAAATAGGAGACACGATTCTCAATAGCTACCTTTGTCATAATCATTAATTAAAAAAAAAAAATCAACTATTTTTAGTATTATAAAATTAAAAAAAAAAAAATTAATTTTTAATGAAATAAACTAATAAAAATAAAATATTTTATAAAACTGAATAATACAAAATCACAATTTTTTGATGAATAATAAAACAAACAATATTTTGACCATGATAACTAGACGCGTGGCAAGTGTATACTGATTAAACACAAATAAATAAATATTTGCGAGTAAATAAATAAATAAATAAATAAAATTAATGTATATAATACACAAGGGTCTAGTTTAAAATATCAGCGTCGTGTAGGCATTTAAGAGTAAGTCGTCAAGCAACAGAAACACCTGGTAGAATTCTTAACATAATGATAAGTAAACTCGGTATAAATCTTGAAGCTTAGTAGGTACAGGTACAACTCATAAATAGTAGTGGTTGAAAATCTGAAAATGAAATAAAAAGATAATCGAAGAATGATAGCCATTTTGAAATGAGAAGTTAATATTAAAAGGTAACCACGCCATGGTTGCTCATTATTTAATTATATTAATATTTTATAATATATTTTGCTGTTGGTATCCTGCACCAGCTAATTCACTCTCATCGTGTCGGCCTCTAATAGTAAGATTTACAAAGCCACGCGGTTGTTTCGCGCCCATTAAATTCACATAATGTAACAACTACTGCTCGACAATGAAATATAAAAATTCCATTAATATGAATTAATAATATTTATTATATATATATATATATATATTAAATATCCATGTCTTAACATTTGAGATTTAACTGGAATTACTTGTCTTCGATGAATTGAAATGATCGAGTAATCGCACTTATGTATTTCGTTTGATCTAGACTCATATATACTCGTATAGTAGTAAAACAGAGCAGGAAAGCCGATTGAACACGCACGCACACTCTTCACATACTTCATTGACTTTTAAGTGTATACTTGATGTTAAAATAATAAATATTAGTCAATTCTTTATTAATTATTTTCATTAATTGTAATAATAATTAATATTAGAGGTAGGACTAAAAAAAATTATGCATATATATATAGACATACGAAGATGATGGTAATAATAATAATAATAATAATAATAATAATAATAATAAAAATAATAATAGGGATAATAAATAAATGTAAAAACTTACTTCAGCGGGATTTCTTCCTCGTTTTTCAAGCTCTATTCGTTTCTCCATGGCCGGTAAACCTGCTCTTTAGATATTTAACTTTAATATATTATTACAGCTCGAAACTAAACACACACCGTTCACTGCACCTTCCTGCGTCGCAACAACTAGTCGCAACCTTGCTTTCAAACCGGGAATATGACGGAACTGTACACGCTCCGTTTTCTACTGTATCGTGTGTAATTGTGTGATATGATGTACTATGATTGTTTGTGTATGATAGTGTCAATTCACACCACACGACATTTTGATGCCACCACTGTATTCAGATAAACTACCAACAGTCAATTGACTTTCGTTGTATAAACTGTACACAAATAAACAATATTATCGTTAAAAAATAATTTATGAATTGATTTTTAGATTCATTAGCAGATGGCGTTACTCCACAAAGTCAGTTGTAACTCGCGGAGACGCTCACTATCCACAATGACGCATCATTTTAAATTAAATTCAGAAATTTGGTTTTTACTAAACATTTTTCATTTTTTGATAACAAAATTACACACTTTTAAATAATCGGAATATCAATGTTTTTAATGTTAAATTTTTAGCTTAGATAAATAAAATCTTCACTTAAAAATTTTTTTATCAATATTTGATGATAAATTTGTAAAAAATTCATTAGAGATCGAAAAACAGACATTTATCTTGTTTTTTTTCCAATTATTCGTTTTTGCTTACAGAAAATTATTTTCATAAGCAAAGACCGAAATTAGTTCAAGAACGGTAATAATTTGTAAGTGGAATCCTATACAGAATTTTTAGTCGAAAAATCCAAGTCAGCGTTTTTATAAAATATTATATTTTTTGGTGCATTTAAGATGAGAATTGATTAATTAAAAGATTGAAATTGAATTTTTACGTATTGACCGCATTTAATATAACAATAGTAATTGTTTTTTAAATTCATAAAAATTTTTTTTTACTTCTATAGGTACTAATTTCAATAAACTTTAAGAAAAAAATTCATGAAGAATAAATAAAATTTGTTTTATAAAAACTTTGTTGAAAAAATTGCTATCATTAATATTTTTGTTTTATTAGAGCAAAATTTGGGGTGCACTCAACTCTAAATAATTATCATTGTTTATACTATATTTTCTTATTAGTAATAAATTGAGAATCAATATTCTTTTACTGACAATATTGTTGAGCAGAGAATTTGCCGCATGTTTAGATCAGTCACAAAAGTTTGTAAAATACAATCGGTATATGTTCAGAAACTACTTAACTATTGACAATTAAGACATATTATAGAACGGATTATAGAGAAATGACATCATAAAAAAAATTATAATAGTTGAAAATTTTCAGAGTAAAAAATTAAATCAAATAATGATTTAAATTAAAATATTGATATCTTTAAAAGTGATACAACAATTAGAAAAAAAATATATCACTTTTTGAATATTCTATTTTTTTTTATTTTCATATCTTTTAAATAAAAAAAAAATTACGTAAAAAATTAGGTATTGTAACATTACTTTCAGCAAAAACAGCTTATATGATTTATTATTATTATTATTATTATTATTATTATTATTATTATTATTATTATAATCTTCGACGTATAACAATTTCAATAGAATGAAACAAACGTTATAGAACTTACTTGAGCGTAATTTATATGTATATCTACATAAGTATATAATATATATTTTAATAATTGCTGAATTTAAATATTAAAACTATAAATATTATATTGTACTCAAAATTTTTTCACAAATATTCTTAAAATTTCAACAAGAGTAAAAAATTTACAAATTTATTTAATACAGTATTTATAATAAGTATTTCAATTTTCACTTTTTTCTTTTTTTTTTTGTTTTTAATTAAAAACTTTTATGTATTCAACTACCATAAAGTTTTTATATTTTTAATGTAAAAAATAAATAGAAAATTTTGAATTTGACAAATTTAAAATTCTACAGAATGTCATTTACAAAAAAAATTTTACAATTATTATTATTCAAGTTTCCTAATATAATTACAAAAATATTAGTTATAAAACAAAAAAATTTTTTTTAATTTCTTCAATAAATGACATTTAAACTTTTGTCTCTCTAAAATTTTAACTTTTTTTTTTATAATACATATCTTTACAAATATTTTTGAAAGTTTAAAAAAATAATATATTTATTTTATATGTGTACACCATAAATAATTTCTTTTTACGAATAATACAATTTTGTCATCGCTTATGAAAATTCGACCCGATAGTAACTAATTGATCCATCATGGAATTATCGCAACTTTGAGAACATTGGGAAGACGTTTGAATTTTAATATGACAAAAAGTGTTTGATGAGTTATCATCCATTTGTTCTAGGCTACATTGTTTTTTATTATAAATAGAATCATATTCGGTATCAGCAGTAGCACCAGGAGCTTTACGTTTAAAATTTAAATGATTGGAATCATGTTTCATGGGTGTAGCAAAAGATGATCTTGTTTTGCGAGGCTGATAATCAGGAATTGCTTGCATTCTTTCTAATGCTGCATGAAGTGGCAATAACCCTACAGCAAATGGTATTTCTTTGCTCATTGAGTATTCAGGTATTTTAGTTGCAGCATCGTGATTTTCAATAACATCCGACATATCACCCCACAATGCACGTTCCACTGATGCTATTGTATTTAATTTAATCGGAGAATACCCATCAGTATCTAAAGGTTCAACTTTTGTAATCTTGCTATTTTTTATTTTATTTCTTGACTTGTCATCCTTCATTTTAGCTAGACAACGTGAACTACCAGCATTTTTAGATGTAAGTTTTGTATTCTTTTTTGGACGTGGATTATTTACACTTTTTTTTGAAACACTATTTTCATCAGAGACTCTTCCATTAGTTGACAATTCTTTTGTACGTTTAGCTTTAGTTAATGATTTACTCAAGCTTTTAATTTCAACATGCTTATCTTTAATTTTTTGTGTTTCTTCGCTATTGTTATTCACAGAATCATCAGTTTCTAACTGATTAAGACGAACACTACGTCGTAGTATTGGCATCTGACCCATAGAAATATTATCATTGTCTACAGAAAACAACTCTTTGATCTGGCGTATACTTTTGTGATTAGGAATAATTGTCCTTTCAGTATCTATTTCTTCATAAACAATCCTTTGCCGATCTCTTATCAATGCATTTGTTTGATTTAATGTGCTACCTATTATATAATGAATATTATCCGTATTCATACTCCAAACTCGATCAGTTGCATTCATGTCTAAAGCTAAGGACGGCAAAGTAACAGGTGCTGTATCACATGATAAATCGATACAATCGATTTTATCTGATTTTATTAACATATTTGATGTACAGAACGATGAAAATTTTTTAGAATTTGTTAATTTTCGCTTTTTGTACGTATAAACTTTTGAACACTCACCGACTTCACTGGGGAGGTCTGATAAATCTAAATTACTCTCTAAATTTTCTAACTTATTATTACAACTATGTGAACATTTTTCATCTTTATTCTCATTATCAATATTGCATGAAACATCGTTCAATATTAAATTATTTTTATCCATAAATAGTGCTTGATTGTCACAATGGATATAATTATTTAGTTTCTTGTTGTTTAAATTATTAACGTTCTCTTGAAAAAAATTTGCTGACTTATTTTCATTTGATCGTGTGGCTAATTTGTTTGTACTCTCAATAATATCGCAAAATATTGCAGCTTCATGTTCATTACTATCTACAGATGTATCGATTAAGTCTATTAATGTATCTTCTAATTCTATTACTGTATGTTCTAGTTCCACTGGTTGATTATCTTTTGAATTTTTACTATCGGATAGTTCAGTTGCTGGTGATGATAGTTTCTCTGTTGGCTCTCTACCGCTCAGTTTAACTTGAACACAATTATGGGTTACTGAACTATTATTTGTGTTGCTTAAATCTTGGTCTAAATTTGATGATTTATCGGTATCATCAATGTAATTTTTTGTTGACATCATACACTGAACAATCGACTCGAGATCTTTTACCTGTAATAATTAATTGTTAATGATCGAAAGTATCGGATAGTAAATTCTCTGAAAATATTTTTTACTATAATATGAGTTATTGTAATAATATAACACTGGTAATTATTTAGATGTGTAACTACACCGTTTTTTAGCCACGAAAAATTGAGAAATCGTTAATAAAATAATTCAATTAATTTCGTCCTTCCTCATCGTGGATTTACAAATCTTTTATTAAAAATTAAAAAAAATTTTTTTTTATAGTTAAAAAATCAATAGGATGGATACTTGTTTCCCTTGTTATTAATATGTTTTAAGGAGGTTCAATATCAATTTTTTTTCTTAAAGAGCATGAATAACTAAAGAGAAAAGAGAGAGTCATGATATCATGATTCAAACATTTTTTATAAATATTTGAAAAACCGGTAGAGTTGAACATCTCAAAAATTACCATAGTATTTTTTATATAATAAGTAATATGTAGATGTTTAACCTATTAATAGATTTAACGTATAATGCATCGAGTTTATAAAGAAAAACTTGTCTATCAAGAAATTATCATGATACATTTTGTCTAATTATAATATACTATTTAGAAAAACTACTTTAAAAATATTAATAAACATAGAATGATTAATTACGTAATCAAAGCATAAACATAAAATGAAAATTTTCATCGTTTTGTAGGCGAAAAATAAGAGAAACTTTCCGAAAGTCATAAATGATTTTACCAAATAAAAATTCTACTTATTCAGTCTGTCACATGTCTCACAGATAAATTTTCATTTTAATTAAATATTTACTATTGTATCTATTCTGCATCTCCAGTAGTATTTGTAGTAATTGAAAAATTATATTTAAAATTTCTAATTTCATCACGTTATAATTAACACACTTTTTGTTATTTTTCTTATTTCATTTTCTCACCACGGAAGACTAAAAATAGATTAAAGATTCCAAACCAAGAATACAAATTCAGATATTACAGTGAATAAAAAAAATTAATGTAAAAATATTTATTATCATAAAAATATTTTGAAATATTATCTGAAATGTACCTTTAACATATAATAATTAGTCTCCAATTAATTAAATGCTGACAGTATTACAATTGATACTGCTATGTTTAATCAATTGATTACATCAAAATCTCAATAATCATAATTTATTAATTATTACTTACTTTAAAAACATGGGCAGCTTCTAACAATGGCTTTAAATGGCAATGAGCTATTGTAGTTTCACCACAATACATAAATTCAACCATTGCTTTAAGAATATCAAAGTCCAAGTCTTTCAACAATATTATTGGCTCTTGACCTAAATCTTGCTCCAGCATTTCCTAAATAAACGAATGATTAATAATTATCAGTTATTGTATAATTTAATCAAATATTTGATTAGTTGATAAGTCAAATTACTACAGTTTTTTCGCATTAATAATAATAATAATAATAATAATAATAAATTAAATTGAGAAGCCGCAATTCAAAAGTATTTTTTTTTTTTTTTCAATTTTGAAACAATCAAGAATTTAAATGAGTGTAAAATTAGCAGACAAATGATTTTTGAAAATTTTTGAGTAATTTTAAATAGAATGGTGGTTAAAAAGTTTTTTCAATCACACACAGAAACAGTTTTTAAAAAGTTCCAAGTGCATTTTTTGTATTATTATTTTTGTAATGAATAAATTATTCGTAAATTTTAACAGAATTGATAGATGTCTGCTACAATCATACGCATGGATTAAAAAACTACAATGTTAAGTATTCATAAGAGAAAGAAGTGAAAAAGATTAATAGAGTTTAGAGATCTTTTAAAGAATTGAATTAATATTATTTTCCTAAAAATTTACCAAAATTACTAAATCATTTTGTAAAAAGTATAGTAATTAGTCTGACGATAACAATGCTCCAAAAATAAAAAGTTGACATCATACCTAGCCATAGAAGCTTAATAGGACCATAAATTTAGGTTGAAAAATAAAAATAGTCGGTTAGATTATTATATAAAATTATTTAAAAATTTTCGCAGATAAATTAATTTTCATTGAAACTATTTAATACATGATGTTGAAAAAAAAGACATCTTACAGTTTTTAGAACTTCAACAAAAAAAAAAAAAAAAAATTATAAATAGGAATTTCAACGAGCTATGATGGTAAGTTTTTTATATTTTTTTTTAACAACTAATTTATTCTTTAACTAAAAGCAAACAATGGTAAAGTGTCTCCTGATTTCAATATCAATTTTCTAAAATTTTTCTCAATAAATAAATGATTGAAAACAAAATTCCACTTATGAAAATAAGAAAAAATTAAAAAATTTATTTATGTAATTTTCAAAAACAATTTTTCAGCAGTAATTTATTTACTTAAAAACTAAAAACCAATTAGATAACTGTTGATTTTAATACTATTTACATGTTGATGAAATTCATACAAAAAGTCTCCAATAGTTAAGAGAAAAGTAACCTTCTGAATTTCAGCTCCTCAGTTGTGATCATTTAAGTAAAATGAAACATACCTCAAAATAAAGACTACATGAAGCTAGTACTAGCTTATGTACACGTAGTTTTTGTTTTTGACAAATCAAAGTAACATCCACAAGTGCTTGTTTAGCTAATAAACCGCTAAATCTCTCGGTGATACTTGCTGCATGGCCGGACCACTGCAAAATATACTCTTTGCTCGTCTCCTTCATTGCTATTTCTGTAAAAGCCTCTAATCGAGGACCACATCTCATATATATATATATATATATATATATATATATTATATAAATATATTAATATACATATATTAAAAAAATTTGCAAATCATAATATACAACTAATCAATTAATTACAGATTTCTTAAATTAATTATCTAAAAATATGTGACGTTATATTGATAAATCTAGAGTAATATGTTATATGTTTTATACTATATTGAGCTAAGAGAATTAATTTTGGATGAAACGAAATCTGCGATTAAAAAAAATAGAGTATAATTATTTATATTTATATTCATAAATGTACAATAGAATATAATTTTTTATTACCTGTTGGAAAAGTAACAACTCCAAGTAGCTCGTAATTATTATCACTTAAGCTTGATGATGATGATGATGACGATGATGAATAATTATAATTATTCAATTAACGTATGTGACAAATATTAACAATCATCGAACGAAAATATTGGACAGTTGTTTGATGGCTTGAAAAATATTCAAAGAACATTATACCAGCTGAGAAAGTTATCTCAGTACTTATTTATTTTTTTTTTATTTAGTATATTTTATATTGTATATGTATGCTGTCTATACCCTATGTCTACGTCAGAAGTTGCAAATTTCACTGACGATACTGATGATTATGATCATGGTTGCGATAACAAGTTAATAAAGATAATAATGACGACTGTAATGATACTGTTCGATGAAAATTAAGACACGATCTCACCCATTTTTTTTGTATATCATACACACACAATCTGATCATCACAAACAAGCAATTGAGGCAAGCCTTCGACGTTTAGTAAACGATCAGTTCAGTTTCAGTGTATATTCAAGTATACGTATATTTCACTATATTTATATATACCTATATACAATCTATATATATATATATATGTAAAAATATATATTGTGGATATTCTTTTGCAATTATGATTATATTTAGGGGCTCGAGCAGGTTCAACCAACCAATTTTTAATGATAATTATAATTTTACTGACGTTAGTTTATTTTTCATTTTGTATCTACGATTATGCAGTTTTATTTACTGATACTTATATTTTTTTTGGAGCAAGAATTTATATAGGTATATATTTCATTGTATGAAAAAAAATAATAATAATAAGCATAATAATTATGACAGAAGTATAGTACAAAATATAGAAACTAGAAACCCTCCGACTAGTGACTAGTGAAAGGAAGGAGACACTTCGCGTATCTTCGGCTTTTACCGGAGCGATGCTGCGACAAATTAAGGTCAACATTTTTGTTATGGAGAGTATTTCTAGAAAGATATGGTGGTGCTGGTTATAAATAAAATTTGCGCGCGGAAGTTCAAATAACGATTTATAAAAAGCTGAGAATAGTGGTGTCCTACAGTTATTGTTTAAAATTATCAAATTGCGATGTCATTCCGTACTAAATCCACTGGTTTTAAAAATCCTATTTTTTTAAATATGCTAATTTTGCACGACTCATAATGCGAAGCATCTCAGAGAGTGCTTTACGATCTAAAAATTTTTTTCGCTCTATTGAAAAAAAAAACAATTTTTTTTATTTTAGAAAATTTGACAATTTTTTTTCAATTAAATAAAAAAGGCCATTCGGCAGCCGAAATGGAAGTAGATTTTTCAAATAAAGAAAATTGATTTTTAGTAAAATAATATAATAACACTAATAATGAATAACTTAATTCATGAATTAAAAACAAAATTCAATAATAAATTTATAGTACTATATCGCACTAGTTGCAAATACTATTTTTTATTACAAATGCGGTGATATATGCGGCACAAATAACGGGGTCCAGGGGCGAAGCCCCGACGGGGAATTAGGGGGGAGGGGCGAAGTCCCCCAGTCCCTAAAAACAAATAAAAAATAAAAAAAAAAGAAGTAAATATATTTTGAATAATAAATACAAATGAATTAATATTAATTAACATAAATATAGGCAAGTACTGATTGTCAGGAGCTTCACGCAGGAATTGATTGATTTGCTCTGCACTCAATGTTAAAGCTTTTATGCTTTTAAAACCTTTGTTTTTTTGCTTTAAAAAAGCAATCAATTTTGAATAATTGTAAATATTAATGTTGTGTTTAATATCAAACATACTTCTTAACATTGAGTACGTTGCCCAAAAACTTGATGGCTTTAAATTTTCAGCGAGTTCACCAAAATAACTCAAAAAAACTGTTTCCGACAGACTTTTAATTTTTTTTTGACGTTCGCCACTGCATGAATTTTTTGTATGCTGCTTCATACTTCGGTCTTGATTTTGCAGGAGTTAAATTATTAATACTCTCATTAGCTTTTTCACAAATTTCAGGTGGTATAAATTCCTCATCGGCACTTTCAGGGGTTTCTGCACAGAAAAAAAAATGTTCTTGAATCAAGTATATATTTTTGAAGAGCTCAATATTTTTGTTTTTAGTAGACAAATTCTTGATTTAAGAACATTTTTCTTGATTTAAGGAAATTTCATTTAATTCAAGAATTTTTCGTCTTGATTCGAGACAATTACACTCTTCAAAATTATATTCTTGGTTCAAGAATTTTTCTCTTGAATCAAGTTAATTTTTTTTTCTGTGTGGGATAAAGTCGCGGGATAAGTTCGATGTCAACCTCACTTCTTTAATATTGAAAGTTAGATTGTGTTTTTTTTGTTGTTTATTTTAATTTTAGCAGATTTAGCAGTCAGTTTGCGTATATACGACAAGGATAGTTTGCGTGTGCCAAGTTTAATTTGTAAGTAAACTTGTCGCACTCAAATAACACAGTTTTACTTATCCCGCATGAGTATAATAAAAAAACTATTTAGAACAAATTTTGGAAAAAAAATTAGGAAAATGGTTGACCCTGAATTAATGATAAAGCCATACTCCCATTCAGCCACACGCCATTCCGCTCCTAAGCTTCTCTTTATACCTACAAGCTGTCCGTCTGATAGCCTACCCCTTTTGGCCATTGCGCTTTTTTTACCCCTTTTATCCAGTAATTGTAATCACCACTTAACTTTTTGATTGCTTTTTTTGCACCATCGCTCCCTAGCCACGTTTCCTGTAGGATCACTATACTATATTTATTCAAAAAGTCTTTTATTTCTTTAAATCTACTCGCGCCATGGGTACTCCTTACCAACACATTACACCTGTCATTAGTTCCTGCTTCGCTCCACGCTTCTTCTTCGACGAAAGGACTCCTCCGTGCTGCGTCGCATTAGCTCCAATTCCGCCGTTAGTTCGTTGAACTTCTCGACTCCGTCACTTGTGCCAAGTCCTAGGTAGCCTACTCTCACGTTTTCGCCATTTCTCGCCAAATGTCTTGGCCACTTATTTTGGATTTCAATCTCTCTAGGCGTGTGGTAATCATCCAGCCAAGTACCGGTCTGCTTCAACTTACTACGCGTTTCCTTTCTCGCCTTTCGTGGTTCAAATGATCATTTGCTATTGCGACTGGTTTTCTAGCTACGCTGTTTCTTTCCGCCCTGAGGAAGTCACCAACCCTGTCTTGCGTAGTCTCTACTTGCTCTGAACTTTGTTGCTCCAGACTATCTTGACTCCTTTTTGCTGGCGCGTGCTTCCTATTGTTGTTACCTGTCTTCTTTCTTGACCTGTTTGCGCTCAACTCTCCTTCGAGCAGACTGACTCTTTTGCGCTTAGTTCTGCGTTTGAGTTCAAAAGCTCCTGTCTTTCTTTTTTCCACTCATCTTTTTTGACTTCGTTTTTCTTGTTCGTGTTTTCCAGTGCTCTTTTTAATTCTTCTATCTCCCTTCTAGCCCTTAGTATCTTATTATGTAGCATCATTTCGCTTTCATTCGCCCTAAGTTCCTTAGCTTCCACATGCTCACACATATGAGACGTGCAATAACTCGATTGGTCATAGAGCGCTACTGTTTAGTAAAGCGGACGCTAAAAAAAAAGTACAAAAAACTAAAAAACTAAGAGCGAGATCATCGATGAACTAGTTCGCGTAGTTCACCTAAAGGAGCTCTCTTCCCACCTAGGCCGTTCATGAACTACTTAAGACTTAAGACTAGAAACTTTTAGTTTTTAAATTAGCATTGTGTAAGACTCGAGGTTTATATTTTATATACCACTCATATTTATTTATACATCTACAAGTAATAACCCGACAATTTAAATGACTACGGAATGAGACAGCTAATGAAAGCCAATATAATTAAGGGATGACAATGGCTGGGTATGGCGTTATACTAGGACCCATCGCGTGAGGTCCTCATGAAGGGTAACGTCGGAATGCCCCTAACAATCTCTCTCGTAGTCCTCTTAACCCTCGTTGAGTGGGGGCGAGTCTTGTCACGGGCTAGGGGTAAAACCTTACGTCGTAGATCTTGGGCCTCACGATACTCGACAGTCTTTAGCCTCGGCAATAAAAATAGCGTTGCTTATACAATTGCTTTTAACAAAACAGTCAATCCACAGTGTTCCTTCTTATAAATTACGCTACAGGTAAGTAGTAATATTTTATATCAGCAATTTTAGAGCACTATTCTTTGTCTTTTACGTGTTTTAAAAATATTTCATGTTCATAATCGATATTTTCCATCATGATAGACACAGATTGAGTACTTTTGAAATAAATTAACAAAAAATACTATTGTTATGACAGGTTCAATAACCATCAATTATTTTAATTGAAAATGTAACACAGGCTTTCAAACACAACAAACTATATTCAAAACTCCTCAAAAAATTTTAAAAATTGATTATCACCACGAAATATAAAAATTGTGAATGATGATACCGAATATCACTATAGAAAAATATTATTTAGTAATAATACAGCGTTACTAACACCAAAAAACAGAAATAAATTCTTTTTCGAAGAACGCCTTTTTCGCTTAAAAAAAAAAAAAATTTTTCAAACCAAATGGCCGTCGAAAAAATAATTCAATTTTATTCTCTAACTTTCTGCTATAAAAATTTAACGTTTCGAATTCTGACTATAAAAATTGAAAATTCTAACTTTTACTTGAAAATTCGGCTTCGCCTCGGCCCCTCGGCCAACAATTACATGTGATCTAAAACATTTCTTACTTTCCTGCCCTAGGTATGTAATATACTATTACAACACACGCGCAGTACTTTTTTTTTTCTAGAAGAAAAAATTATTCATTTAAATATAATTCGTTTAAATTTAGATTAAAGTTAAAAAAATATAGGAATATCAGATATAATAAGTAAGTTCAAAAATATTAGAAAATTAAAAAAAAAAGATGTTTTTGTTCTTTTAATATCGATAAATTTTGAGAAAGTTTATAAATAAATAATAGTTTAAGTTGAAAAAAATAAAAAACTGTTTGATTTTAATATTTTATATAATTAACAATAAATTACTTTATAAAGACAAATAAATAATTTCCCATTAAATAAGCTAAGCGATTTTTTGTTTTATTTTAGTAATCAATATTTGTATATTTTAATAAATAAAAACAATAAATATTTTCAAGAATAATTATTCTTATTTAGAATAAAAAGGTTGTTTTTGAATTTAGATTATATAATTTAAATTTCCTTCACCGCCAGTTACCTAAAAAAATTTACCTTACTGACAACTAATTTCTTACTTATGACTCTTAGAAGACTTAGCAGACTTAGAAGACAGATCAATTGTCGTTCTTTTGTAATGTTTCATGGGTTACAGTTTAATTTTTTTCATAAATATGATATCTAAATGTTTTAATGTGTGTATTTTATTATATAGAATTTACTATTATTTGACATACATTAAGTGTTATGTATGAAGTATTAAATGTATATAACTTGTTAGAGAGCAAGTTACTTTTTGAATTTCTTTACAATTATTACATTGGCTACATTTCCGTTCGGATCACTCAGATGACCCCTTTTTCTGGATAGATAATGGCGCGAAAGATTTAAAAGTATTTGTATTTTATTTTAATCAATTTTATTAGAAAAAATGAGATTATGAGGCATGCACTTTTGAATTTTTCAAACTTTTTATAACTACTCTAAAAACTTATAATAATAAATTACTTATCGTTGAAAACCATATGAGACCTTGAAAAGGTACAAATGTATTACGATAACAGTAAGGCAACAGTTGTACTTTTAACTAGTTTACGTCAAATTAACGTCAACTTTCCGCAAACTTCGCGTCAACTTTGTGCAAACTTTTCGGTAAATTCCGGCAGTAGGTTTACGCCAACTTGATGCAGAAGTTAAAGTCAAGTTCTGTGAAACTGTTGCAAATGCAAATAAAAAGTTGACTCGAAGTTTACGTAAAGTTGACATTGAACATCAACTAGTTGATTGCTAACTCGTACTAACTGGGTCAACTCGCGAAGTAACAGCGAATTTTTTTTTTTCTTGATTAACTATGATCTTATATTTTTATTTAAATAAGTTTTAAAATTAAGTTATAAATAGAATTTTTGTTGGTGATTTTTTTTTCTATAAACGTTTAATATAGAATTTAACACAGTTATTTATATGTATGTATGTAATATAATAATATAATATATATAATGAGTAATGAGTACTATAGTACACTTCAAGCAAAAATACTTTTTACAACGAAATGATAAGTTTACTATTTTTAAAAACTATCTTTTGTATTGATCAGTGGGTTGCAATTCACCGGTGGTAATTGAATCTAACACCCAAAGTTCCTTGGTCCCAGTGGGCCCAATTGTTATTTTAGCTTTCTTAGGGTCGTCGATAGTCTGTCCTCCAGCTGTTTTTATTAATTCCTTTAATAAATCTCGAGGCGGAGTAGTGTTATTCTGAATATGTATCAAACCACAGGTTGTAAATAATTCGGGTACATAAGAATTCCCAAAAATTTCTCTGTCTCTCCGATTTTCCTGTAGAAAAAAAACAATTTATAAAAAAAAAAAAAAAAAAAAAAATAAATAAATAATAATCATTATAAAAAAAAATAAAATTACTCTGAGAACTTTGGAGAAATGTTGAATTTCATATTCATCAGGAGGAAGCCAGCTGGAAGCTTCAATTGATTTTTTAACCCACTCGAATGATATCAGCCAGCATCCTCTTATTATACCTCTTAGTAAATTAATAGTACGAACTCCAGTGGTAACAACATGAGTTGTTTTTTTAGTTACAGTTGACTCCAATTTGGCACCGCCAATTTTTTTTATCGCCGCTCTCACAATGTCTTTATCACTGTAAAAAAATCAGTAAGTAAATCAATTAAATTAATTTTATAATAATAAATAAAAAAAATCTTACCCATTGCACAGGCCTGTAGCTACAATAATGATAGATTTGTTGTGAATACGGCTTTTTTTAACGAGTCTTTTATTTTCCATAAATACACTTGACCTCCTGGGACTGTCATCACTGCAAACTTCTCTTTGGCTAGCTTTTTGACTAACTAGACTCAATAAATTAGGTCGTTTTGTTTTAATGTTAACAATCTTCTTACTTTTTATAATTCTCTTTCTCTTATCTTTATTGTCTTTTTGTTTGTTTTTCTTGTCATTGTTATTTTCTATTCTTTCCTCCTGTTGAACTTGTAAATTTGGTTGAGTAGAACTAGACACCAAAGCTCTTTTTAAATTGAAACTGTTACTATTATTACTATTAATACTAGATTGAGATCTGGTGCAAACTGTTGGTGCAATGGTGACACTTTTTCTAACTCTTCTTCTCTTTACCCATTTTTTTTTCTTGGGACTCAGCATCGGACTCAATCCACTGGACATGGGACTTATCGAGGATAAAGCAACTGGACTACTTTGCTGCGTAAACAATCTTCGTTTCCCGATACTTAATTTCTTCTTAACTGTTTCCATAATAAGTTTATTTCTGTCAGCATCACTGTCATTACCAGAGTCTTCAGAAGTTTCATCAATTATTATTGTTCCTTTTTTAGAAATTTTATGATTCTTATCGAGAGTTAAATCATCCAGAATGATAGTACTCTCCAACTGGTTACTATTTTTATCTTTATCTTCATGATGTTTTTTGTTATTAATTAAATAATTATTTTTTGGTGTAAGCAGTTGGGAAATATTTCTTCGGCTAAGGAGGTGACTTTTCTGAGTTAATTCTGGCGTACCTTCAACAGCGTCATCATGATCATCGCTCTCTTTATCACTTGTTGATAATTTATTTACTTTATTTTCAATACTATTATCAATAATTAATCCATCTTCATTTTCTTCATTGATTACTGTCATTTTAGCTTGTCCGTGCTTTAAATTTTTATCAATATTATCATCTTCATTATCAGGACTTTTGCTATAAATATTATCCAGTGAAGTATTTACGTCCATTGAAAAACGATTAATATCTGATAATTTATTTATGGAAAGTTTATCATTGTTTGTGTTACTTAAAATACAATTACCTTGAACAGGAGTTAATTCCATTGTTTGTTGGTCAATTATTGTATTAATTTCATTTGAATTTTGTTTATTTAATAAATAATTACAGTTCTGAATATTTATGATTGATGGCTTTGAATTTATTTTATTGGCAGAATTTACTTGTTGTGTTACGTTTGTTGGTGTTGCGGCTAGAGTTGGGGTCGGTGCTATTGTCTTTTTTGATGATGTACTAGGTAAATTACAAGACTCAGTTAAATCACAATTAGCAAATGTTGAACACGATATCGGTACACCGATATTAGATAAATTAAATGAATTGTCACAGCTAGTTAATACATTTTTAGAGAAAGTACGTGATCGTGTTTTTCGAGGTGACAATAATAAATTTTTATTAGTGTTATTATTATTATTATTCTTGACAAACTGGTTGCAATTTTTGAGTATTGTATCAGTTTTGTGATAAAAGTCATTGTTTTTATCAAACAACTCGCGAGTTTTATTCATTATAATTTTTTTTAATTGTGAACAATTTGTACTAAGTACCTTATCTTTAACAGCTAATTGGTTACGCGTCTGTATTATATTTTCAGAATCCGTATCACTTTCAGACAAAAAATTATTATTTTTGACTATTGAATTATTCTTATCATTATTTAATATTGATTTTAATTTATCATCTGTTGTTTTATTATTTATTTTATTACATTTTACTTCAAATGACGTTGCTGATGAATCTGATAAACTTTTTACTTTTGTGTTAACATTAATTTTACTTTCAGTCACTTTTTTAGATAATTTTGATTTCTGTTTAGTATTTCTTCGATACATTATAACAAATTTTATAAATTATGTTATTAAATTTAATACAAACAATATTATATAAATAGTATTAAGTAGAATTTAATTTTGTGTTGTTGTTTACTAACATCTAACCTCTGAGTACTCTCAACCTCAACATATCACATAAAATGTATAAGTAAATTTATATATAACGAGCGCGTACGACAACCAGTGGTAAAACAAACTTCACTCTTACCAACTTGTGAGAATTTTTTTTATAATAAATTTTTATAATTATTTTCAATTAATTTTAAAGCTTCTTCAATTGAAAAAAGAATTTATTCCAATTGACAATCGCTAAAAACTAAGCCCACATATGTGAGTCTTGTAATTTATAGTTCATTATTTCGTAAAAAATTATAAATTTAATTTATTTAAATAAAAATAATTAATTAATATTGATAATAATGCTTTCCTCATGTAGTATATCATTCAGTTCAACTAAATTTTTTTTCTGTATACATAATATATCAAAATATATTTCAAAATTTTTATTTTTAACCCATGAATTATTTAATTCTTCTCAGTAACAATTAACAGCTTGTCCATACAAATTCAACTCTTCATGAGAAAAAGAGATTTTAAAAGATTACTTGAATGCAATAAAACGTAAATCCATACATATGTATGTTATTTAAATCTAATCCTTTTAATATTGTACAATCATTTTAAGTTGATTTTTCTAATTGAGATAATTTCATCATAAGATAGGAAATCATAAGCAATTGTGAAGAACAAGTCATAATTAAAATTTATTTTCAGAAATTTTGTTTTTCAATCACATAAAATAAAAAGTCAAAACTTTGTTTTATGTGATTGCGCGAAAAAGAACTTATGGCTAACTATTGCAAAAGTTTTATGATACCCGATTAAAAAAATTTTTCAAGAAGTAAATAAGTAAGAAAAATAAAATTTCTGAAAAATGAATTGTTTACTACCTACGGCCTACCGATAAATTGTTTAATAATTATTTTAATTTATTAAAATGGATAGCCAGTAGTTGAGTTTTAAATTACAACTGCTGCCAACATAATTTTTGTAGGAGGTAATTTATAACCGTGGTAATGGGTAATTTACTCCACTTTTCTCTCTTTCCTTCACTTCATTTATTATAACCGCATCTCTGGTGCCGAACATCATATTCTCACATTTCATATTATTTGTTAACCTCAGATGCTTAGAAAAGTTAACTTTCAAAATAAAAGTATCTCAATTCAATATTAATTATATAAAATATTTATTTTATTACTTGTTCTTATAACTTTACTCGTGTATATCAAAATAAAATTGACAGTGGTTTGAAGTTTTTTTGGCTCTATAAACATTGATAACTATTTTTTTTTAATATAAGTAATTCGATATTATATATCTTTGGTTGCTTCAAGTTGTTTTTTTAATAATATATAAAGTAGAATTAAAGATTTTTAGAAAAAAACTAACACTCAAATCAACAGTTATTTTAAAATTTTTAGGTTGTTTTTTTTTTTATTACAAATAAACTATTATAAAGAAAATAAAAAATTGCTCATGTTTAAAAAAAAACTATGAATGAAAATTTTCAAAAATATTTTTCTAGTTGAAATTTATTTTAAAAATAAAATAGAAAAATGATCATATTTATAGCTTTTATTTTTGTCATTAGTTTATCTCATTTAGTAAAAAAAGTATAATCAAAGCGATTAATAAAATAATTTTAAAAGTTTCAGGTAGTATCTATCAGAATATAAAAAACAAAATGAGTACATCAAACCGACCGGTTGAAAATTCAATGAAAAAAAAATTAGAAAAAGGTCTAGAACCATCACATTTGGAAATTATTAATGAATCGGCTATGCACAATGTACCTAAAGATTCAGAATCTCATTTCAAAGTAGTAGTGGTCTCGGATAAATTTAAAGATGTACCTTTAATTAAGGTAACTATCAAAGTGTAATATTTTTTATTAGTTATTAGTTGAGAACTATTCAAATTTTATGGCAAAGTTCCCTGCTTAATAATAAAAATTATTTTCAAGCGTCATCGAATGGTTAATGACTTATTGAAAACTGAATTGGAAGAAAGTATCCACGCTTTGTCAATAGTCGTAAGTATTATTTTATTCTATTTATCAAAAATTATAATTTAATTGTACAAGTGTACTTACTAAAAGACATTTTCTTGCTTTTTTTTTTTTTTTAAGGCAAAAACTCCGTCTCAATGGGAAGAGAGTAACAAAGTTATCGCGCCTAGTCCAGCGTGTAAGGGAGGATTTGGTAAATAATTAAGTACAAAATTATTAAACTTCGGCCGCTGTACATATTAAAATTATGGATTTAATAAAAGACATACACTCTTATTTGTCATTACTATTATATTATTATTTATAATATACACGTATTTTTAGTTTTGAAATCTTCGATTATCAATTAATCATTTACATCTCATATAGGAAAATTTTTTTAGAGTTGCTCGAAACGATATAAGGCGCCAATAGCGTTTTATCAAACTAATAATAATATATTTCACTTTTACTAACTGAGATTAATTCATTTAATTTCATCTCAGACAAAATTGATGGATGTGTTAATAATCTTGAATTATTCGATTAACTTTAAATATTTAAACTCAGTGTTTGAATTTAGATACGAAAAAAATTTTGTTTAATCAGCGAAGAACTAAGATGTAATATTATACGCTGCTGCTGATTAAAAATATTTCTGATTTTTAAAGATATGTTATGTTATATTGAATGAGTCAATAACTCTGGTTAATAGTTTGAAAATACTTTATATCATTATCAAATCTTTTTTTATTACGTATATAAAGTTATAGTAATTTGTAGAAAACATGGTTTCTTGGATTCTTTCGCTGTGAATTACATGTTTAGGATATTAATGATTATAATGAAGCAGAGTGATTTATTATTTCTTACAACAAAATGGCATTCTCAAATTCTTCTCTGGCAACACTTGTCAAAGCTGACCAATAAAAAATCAAAATTTTATAGATTTATATTTGAATGGAAAGAAATTTTATTTGTTGAAACAATTGGTCTTTCAAATACCAATATAAATATCATAGGAGTTATAATTTTAAAAATTTTTTTTAGATTTTTAAAACTTTTTAGACTTTTAGATTTTTTTCATTTCTAGACAAGTATATAAAAAGTACTTTCTCATTAAATAAACATTTCAATTTCAACTTGATTATTTTTTTCATATTTCAAGTAATGAAAAATGAGTAGCGACGAATTACATGAATAAATCTATTTTTTAATCATTCTTGTTCGGTGTACTTATACACTAGTGTAGTAATAATAGAAAAACAAATAAAACCGAAATAAAAAATTCATTAATGTCATAATGTGAAGGTATCTAGTCTCAATTTTCCATCATTTTCATTCAAGTAAAGCATGTCGGCCATCGACTGTTCAACCATTGTTTCTTCAGCTTTATCACACATCTGAAAGTAAAATTTTGAAATTTTACATAAAAACTTTTTTAACTCACAAAACTGAAGCTTAATAAATAAACAGACAATAATTACCCCTCGGAAATTAACGTTTGAAGGCGCACACTTAAAATTAGGCCCAAAGTTCACAGATACCGTTGCATTTTTATGTATCGATAAAGTTGGATAATAAGCCCCTCTATACATGTCAATAAAAGCGTCGCCTTGATACTCACCGTTTTTATAAAAAATAATTTTACTTCCATGAAGTGGCTTAAGGGCTTTTAATGCTTCTGGAACTTGATCTTTTTCTTCATAATATAAGTGACTTTTGAATTTTACAAGAGGCTGTTTGAAAAAAAAAATTGTTTATATAAATATAAATCAATTATGTTGATGTTATCAACATATATAACATTACAGTAAACTCACTCTGTCTTTGTAAGGATTAGGTATATGAGACGCGTCATATGTATCTGGCAAAACAATTAAAAAACCCAAAGTATCTCCTTCGCCATATCCTGAACTGTAATGTTTTCCACGGCTTTCATGAAATCTTGTACCTTTTCTATAAAACAAAAAATTGATTATAACTATTGTAGAGTTATCATTATTATAATATCGAATAAATAATTTTAAAATGTGGCTATTCTTCTGAATATGACTCCTCGCCGATTAAAAGTTAGTAAAGTAGAATCGTATTATGTATAAATCTGGCCTACAATATTGATTTTCAGTGATAAAGGCAAATAATATTAAAAAATATGTTTATGCAATGATAGTTCGTCTGCCCAATTTTAAAATACAGTAACTGTAAAATTTTTATACCTAATTTTTTTTAATATTGCTGCATTTTTTTTATAACTTTTAGACCTTAATTTCACGCATTTTTTCTTAAAAATATTTATATTCAAGTATTTTCTATTCATAAATCAAATTTTTTATCAATTTGGTAGGCAAACTTTTTTTTTAAAAAGAAAAATTTCTAAATGTTAGTTACTGTGTTTTGAAATTGGGCAGCCGAGTTATTTTTAAGTTTTAACATAGAGAGATTATAATGAACAAATCTTTGGAACTACGTCAACTGCAGCTTAAGAATTGATGATAAAGTTTAAAATTCATAAAATTTTTATAATTATTTGTAGATGAAAGGAATTTTAAAATTAAAATTTTTCCGTTACTTGTATTGGTATTGGTTGAAGTGTTTTAATACTAAAATCTATGTGTTAATGATATTGATTAATTTATGAATCAATTTGACTTTTAACATGTTAAAAAAAAATTTTTAATCTAATCTATGGCTTAAATCACCAGAAAATATTATTAAAATTTTCATGAGAGTGGCATAATTAGAATTCCTTTCATTATTTTGAATAATAATTCCGTTATGTGAATGCTATCAAAAGTATTGTCGTTAAATTTAGGATGATAAACAAATGAAAACTATCATCAATTTTTTACGGGAAATGAAAAAAAAAAAAAAAAAAAACAATTGAAGCATAAACGTGATTAAATGTTTCAAACTATCCGATTTGAAAACATAGTTACTACTAAATTTTAAACCTTGATTTTTTCAATATTATTGCATTTTTTATTACTTTGAGTACTTTTAAATCTGATATTTTTTTTTTAATCTTTTTATCAACATTTCTTCGATTAATAAATTGAGTTTTTTATCCATCTTAAAGTGTATTTTTTTTATAAGAAAAATTTTAAGAAATCTAAGAATTTTTCCTCAAAATAATTAAAAACTAAAATATTTATATTTTTAGCTATTCTATTTTTGATTAACTTGAAAAAAAATTTTAATTGTTAAAAATAAACTGAAAATTTTAAATAATCTTACTAAAAAAATGCATTTTTGGATTTCACAAATTATTAAAAAAACTTAATATTTCGATTCTTTACGGCCAAAAATAGTAGGAGTTGAAATTTCAAACAATTACTAAGTTTTTTAAATTGTTCATCATCACTTTAAAATCATACCTTGATCTCCAAGAATAACCAAATTTGTCATAGCCAAGAGGAGCCTGCAGATTAGCATATTCTTGTCCCCAACCCAACCTCGTAGCTGATCCTTCGGGCATTTCTTCAATAGTTGCTTCCCAATACCAAGTACCACGACTGACAGAATGCGTACTCCTTACCATGCAGTAACCTTTGTCCCCGGTTGCAGCTAAGCGATCTTCTGAAATTTTCATTTGTGGTGCTCGATCGTGAAGAGCCAACAAGACAATACTGGGACTTAGTGCTCGATATAGCCAGCCGGGAATTGGTTTTCCAGCCCAATCACTGCTTTCATCGAACTCCTATTAAATAAAATTAATTGTATTATTCCATTCTATGGAATTAGAAAAAAAAAGAACAATTTTTAACAAGAACAAGTTTTTAATCAAAGGTTTCAAAAAAATGTAGCAATTAGTAATTTGGGTTATTACTTGGCGAAATGGTGCGTGGGGGTCTGGTTCGGCTAAGATGTACCTATACCCGTCTTTATTAAAGGGATGCTCCAGTGGGTAGCCGTGGGCTGGTAGCTTTGGAGTAGATAAATCAGACCCTCGACCTTTTTTTCCCGGACCAGCTCCACTACCTTCTCCAGGTAATTTACGCTTGGCATTACGACCACGTATTCCAGGTGTTACGGGTGCTGAAAGTTTTATTACGTTAGTAAATTATACTCTGTAGGGACATAATGATGTGTCTGTGTCAGAAAAATGATTAATTGGATTAATTAAGTGGCGGCACTTATATTTAATTTCATTAATGTGATTATTTATGATATTCATTATTAAGCATGGAAATAGAATGTTATTGAAAAGAAAATGAATGATTTTACAAAAGGAAAAATATGTCAACCAACCAATTGTGATTTTACAATAATTAGAGGCCATTTTATGGACATAAAATTTTATTAATTAAATTTGAACCGAATTTCAATGGATTTGATTCAAATTCAGCAGTGAACATCGTGGCGAGTCCTTATCGTCGTGAATTAATGAATAATTAATTTAATAAAATTTTTACTTGTTTAATTATATTGAGATCGAAAAATTTAATTATAAAATCAAACTTTTATGCCACAAATTATGAAGAAAAAAAAAAAAAAAAAAAAAAAAAAAAAAAAAAGATATGATCGCTTAGATAGAATCAATCCGGTAATATATTTTTTATAACAAAAACTTATGAAAACTGACTTTTTTTCAGTACTATCACGGAATATTTTGTTTATTTTTTATGATTATTTAGAATCGCAGCTTCGCCTATTTTTAGCAACAATACATTAAAAAATCTAAGAATAGGAATTGACAAACTTACGAAAATTAGTTTCTTCGAGTGAACTTTACTCATGAACTTTAAAATTTTACACTATTACCTCTTTTGATAAATTTTGTTCAATGATAATTTTTTTATTAAAGTTTATCAAAAATAGAATAATAAAAAATTTTTTTTTTTAATATCTTTTTTATTAAAATAGGAATTTTTTTTATTTTTCATGACTAAAACAAATTTTGAGATTAGGTATTTTTAGAATTTTCTCGTTTTGAATTGTTTTGTTTTTTAGAAACTTTTTTTAAAAAAAGCTGCAATTTTACACAATTTACTTTTTTAACGATAAATGCTATAAATAAATACAAAATAATATACACGATGATATATGTTAGCTCACAACCTACCAATTTTCATAACGCTGTCGGTTAAATTGAAAAAAACCTCAAGTGTACAAAAAGTTATTATACCATTTAACAAATAATTAACATACACTTAAACGATAAGCTTCGATAATAATAACTCTCACTTGCTATAATAATTTTAATCCAACATAATAACTTTTCGTACACATTAGCTTCTTGTTTTAAGTTCGATCGACAGCATAAAAAAGGACGTTCTGAGCCAGCATTTCCTACATGTAAAAAAATAACATAAAATCAAGTTGTATAAATGAATAATATATTACAATGATTTTAATTATTAAAATGTAAGAATTTATTATTTTTTAATTGTTGAATTTGATTTGAACCTCATACTATAACGAAATTTTTGTTTAAATCAATTCTGTTAATTCATGAAATTAATAGTAATTTTTTTTTATCTCAAAGTAATCGACTACGTACCGTCTTTATACATGTGTTAATATGTATTATAAATAGATCTTGAACTATTAGTCATCTATGTTATGCGATATAATGATTTGCTATATTCACATAATATAATATATTGATGTATTAACTAATAAGATATACGAATATTTAATTTTAATGAAAGTGTTGATATTAAAATTATAGATATCCGAAATTATTTATGATTTTTTTACATATTAACTTTTATAAAAGAATTTAGAAAAAGGAAAATTCTACTTGTAAAGTTGTTTAAAAACAATAATTTTTTTAAATCACAATATTAGTGCTAATTGAACTTGTAACATAATCAAATTTTGTGATATTTAAGTAGGGCTTCACTCAAGATCGAGATTATATTAGTCTTGTCTTGTACTTGTCTTGACTTATCAAGACTTATCAAGACGATATTATAGATGACAATTCAAGACCAAGACCAATATCATTAAAAATATCTTGCTAAGTCTTGACAAGACATATAAATACAATGACTATAAGTATATATGGGAATTACTCTTACTAAGAATTCATGCTTTATAAAAGATTGTAAGTATTCACTTGATTTTAGCATATTGATCATTTTTAAATGACCACATTTTTGGTATCAATAAAGCTTACAAACAATACGATTATACATACATATCTATTAGGGTGGCGCAAAAAAACCGACTATTTTTTTTTTTTAAGTCTCGAGTGAAAAAATGTTAGTTTTTGATGTTTTAAGAGCCCTCACCAAAGGACAGCTCAAAAAAAAATTTTTAAGAGGTCGCTCCAAATTTTTTAAAATTTCAAAAATCGTCAAAAATCTAAGTTTTTTTTTTTTTTTAATTTTTTTCTCGTTACGGTATAATTTTATAGACTAAAAAAAATAAGTTTCTGAAAATTTCAGTTCAAAATTCGAATTTTGAAGGGTCGCTCATAATTTTTTTCAATTTATTAGTGCATTAGTTTAGATTTTTTCGAGCGACCTTTTACTATTCAAATTAAAATTCCATGCATTTTTTTTTTTTATTTAGTACAATAATCGATAAGAATTTATCACGAGATGAACTAAAAATCAAGCACAACATAGAAAATATAATTTTTTTTTAATTTAATAATTTTATTTAATCAACTGCCAGGCGTGAGTTCGAATCCCAAGCTGGTCTTAGAAACCAGCTTGGTTGAGATTTGACCTTGCCGCGTTTGTTAAGATTTTTTCAAACCAAAAAGACCCCAACGTACCACTCCCGACACTTAAAGTCGGCGATATGACTAATTAACAAAAAATAAAAAAAATTATGAGCGACCTTTCAAAATTTAAATTTTGAACTGAAACTTTCAGAAACTTATTTTTTTTTGGTCTATAAAATTATACCGTAACGAGAAAAAAAATAAAAAAAAAAAATTCAATTTTTGACGATTTTTGAAATTTTGAAAAATTTGGAGTGACCTCTTAAAAATTTATTTTTGAGCTGTTCTTTGGTGAGGGCTCTTAAAACATCAAAAACTAACATTTTTTCACTCGAGACTTAAAAAAAAAAATAGTCGGTTTTTTTGCGCCACCCTAATCTCTATATGGGTGACTCTCTGTAAGGACGTCTTAAATCTGTACAAAATTGTCCGACCGACTCCCCGCCTTTATTAATTCCGCAATATTTCTCATGACAAAAATTTCTCACCCCTAAAATTTGTCACATCAATAATTTCTCATCCCTAAAATTTCTTATATCAATATTTTCTTAAACACTATAAATTCAACATGATATGAATGTGTGTTTATTCGACATTAGACCAATACAAACGCGGGTAATCGTGTTGCGCACTTTTAACATGGTTTTTGTCTGTGTGTATTCGACATTAGCAATGAGTCATTTAATTTAAAGCTTACATCATTGTCATTATAGCATTAAATTAAACATAAGATAAATTACGACATGATAAATTTTGTCCTCGAGAAATTTTCAACTTGAAAAATTTTACTAGATAAATTATGTCATGAGAAATTATTGTTTGAGAAAAAAGGGGTGGTCGTCGATTTTTCTCTTAATTTGATTAAAAAAAAGTCCCCTGGCAAACAGTCCTCTGTCATGTTATATGGCAAAATACACACAAATATCGAAAAAACAAAAATTAATTTGGCTGTTTATTTATTATCATTAAGCTGATAGTTTTGTAGCCCTTGTTAATTTTTTTTCTAATAAAATCAAAAATAATTTGGTCGAACAGGCAACCACCCCTTTTTTCTCAAAAAATGCCTGGGACAGCGAAAAACATCCTTACAGAGAATCACCCATATCTATATTTATAGATTCGTATGAATTATAAGTAATAACGTCTGTAAGCAGTATATGGAATGCGTTATATTTATAGTGTATACTTGATAATCAAAATTACTAATTTTTATTTTGTTGTTTATTGGGCTAAAACATTTTTATAATTATTCAAAACGATAAATTATATAAGATTTAAAAAATAATAAATTTTGCCTACTTTATTAAAAAATAAATTGTCCAATTGTATATTACTATAATATATATAATATTATAATATTATTATTATATTTTTACTTGATTAAAAAAAATTTTAACTTATTCAAGACCAAGACGAGATTTTGACAATACAAGACAATACAAGACAATATTGCAAATTACTTATTTTTAATGATCAATACAAGACTTCAATTTTAAAGTCAAAATCAAGGCAAGATTAAAAATTTCAAGATCAAGACAAGATTTTCCAAATCTTGTCTTGTCTCAGCTCGAGTGAAGCCCTATATTTAAGTTATAATATAAAGTGAATGTTATCGAAAGAATCAATAAATTTTACATTATTGATAAATTCCAGGTTGAACATACCAATATGCTGAACACCCATCTCAGTAATCTTGATCTGTCCGCCTTTTATCATTGCCTCGTAGTTTGGCTTAATTAATACTAAATCTGGTGTTGTTAATCCGAATAATTGACCATCTGTATTATTTTCATCTATTGTAAAAAGTGTACCAATGTCTTTCAATAATGTTTTATGAATCTGAAAAATAAAATTTTTTTGAAAGTTACTGTTTCATCATACAATCATAATTTAACTTTGTACTTATGATATTATAATCTTTGTTTTAATTGTTAAAATATAAAAAATTTTTAATCATACATACCGTTCCATGCCATGATTGAGTTACACGTCGTGGCATTGTTGTCATACTTTCCCAATTACATTCGATGAATGGTATTATATCTCTGTCTTTGTGGAATAACATTCGTTGTTCAGGATCTCTTTGAGCAAGCTGTGAGAGATTGGCTATTGCTGTTACACACATTTGCGGAAACTCTGAAAAAAAAATTATCATATATCAATAACAAATATATTCAGTTGCTATTTTTTATCACTAATTATTTTTTCAACAGTTGGAAACACTTAATAAATTTTTTTTTAGTTATTTTAAACGTCCCGTGTTAAAACAGCTTGATATTCATCAATATTTAGCTAAAATAAAATTAAACATATAATATTAAATTTTTTAATATTTTTTATAACTGATTTCGATAAACTATAAGTTAAAAGCCTCCACAATGGACACCCTGTTCAATTTTATTATTTCATTAATAAACTCTGTTATAAATCTTATTATTTATTTGATACTCTTGAAAATTTTTTTATTTTACTTGTAATTTGAGATTTAATCAAAGAAAATTTTGGTAAAACAATTAAACTATAAAAAGTGTTTATTTAAATAATGCCATATTTATTTGTGATTAAAAGTAGTACTTTGATTACCAATAAGTAAAAATTGATAGCAATCAGTAATAACAAATAAATTATAATCTATAAAAAATATACTCGTATCAATGAAAATCTAATATTTCATTTTTATTTATTCTAATTAAATTAAAATTTTTAAAATTTACTTCAACTTTGAAAGAATTTTTTATTTTAGTATGATTTAAAAATGGTCAATTATTCAAATTTCCACAATAGTAACATTTGATAATTTAATTAATTTTTATAATTTGAATACTTTACTTGTTAACAAATAAATATAAATCATGAGGGAATTTCCATAAGAAAATCAATGTAATCCTGAAGCTAACTTACAATTTTTTAATTTTATTTTTTCATCAACCAATCCTATGAAGATGTTCCTAAAAAATTGTATTCATAGTTTATTTTTAAATTTTCATTAGTGAAATATTTCTTCAATTTTTCTATAACAAATTATTTGATAAAAAAATTATCAGATGTTGAGTTCATTATCGGCTTTAGGAAAAATAACGATTTTAATAGAAAAATGACGGCTAAAAAGATTATTACTGGTATTTAGAAATATTGATTAATTACTTACGGGCTTGAATTTTTTTAAAACTTTCGATACCACTCGATGAACAATTTTTACACATAAACACGTAGTTCATCATGAAAGGAACCAATTTGCCTAATTGATAGCTGACACAAGACTCATGAAACCACTTTGAGCAACCAGCACATAAAAGTTCAGCAATGGTCAAATTTCGATCTTTTCCACTGAAAAAAATTAAATTTTTATCAATTGAATGTCTAGACAACAATTAATGCTTATTAATGCTAAAAAAATTAAAAGTCAAGTTACCAGTAACAATTGATGTTGTCGTTAGCAATAGCATTACCATTACTATTGACGCTGACGAGCCGGTTTAATTTATCACCATTTCCTTCAGTGCTTAACTTTTTTTTCTCCGCATCTTCTGTTACCTCTTGCAGTTTGTTATTAGAAACAATTGGAATAATTTCATCCGGCTTTTCTGTCATTCTATATATGAAATATAAAAAAATACTTTATGTTGCAATGAGAAAAAGTAATTCTAACCTCTGAGAACATGCATAAAATTTAATTTGTTAAACTAATAGGAAAAATTTATTTAAGTAACAAACAGTCAACTTACGGATTTATTTTTTCTTCGGACATCATATTAATCAACTTAATTTTATATTTGTTTATGTTTTAATTTTGATACTTGTCTTGTTATGATTTAGTTTGCAAAAACTATTTCTTTCTTATCGATAAGGTGAAGGTTCAACTATACAGCAGATGGCGCTTGAAGCATGTAGTAGTAAGAATTTTGCTTTACCCGCGTTCTGATAATTTTTTAATTTTTCATCTTTTTGGCGGAAAAATTTAAGAAGTTTTTAAAGCGGCGTGGCGAGCTGTAACTTGAAAAAAATGACACCCAAATAAAAAATCAGTGAAAAATGTATAACAAATGGATTATTAAAGTTTCAATATCATCTGATTATATAATATAATATAATATCATGACTATTAAAAAAAAAAAAAAAAAAACCAGCAAAATTTTCGAAAATTTGCATTTCATGAATGATAGGTTCAAAAATCTTAAGAAGTTATCGATGCTTTTTACAAAAGTTAGAAAAAAAAATATCAGATGAATAAGAGTTGCAATATTATATGTAATAAGACAGAGAGTTGCCATGGAATGCTCCATATATTCAAGAGATTTGTTTTGTTGCCAAGAACTTTCGACTAAGTAATAAAACTAGGGGTAATTTAATTCAAATTAATAGTTAAACTGGAGTAATAAGAGTTGGTGATGACAGAGCGTCTATATAGATGCAGAAGAGTGAGAATATCTTTATAACAATAATATTAAAGTCAGTGATGGAGATAATCTTGACATCATTGTAGGCTCTAATTTTTTTACTAGATGAAGTAAAATTCTCTTGATTATTTAATTTATTGATGTATTTAAAATTATTTCAAAATAATTTTTGAATTCATTCAGGATAATTTGTGTTGGATTATTCATTAATATTGTGAGAAACTTAATTTCTATATTTACTTTACTTATAACTTTCTTTACTCTTTATTAGATTTATAATATTTAAAAAAAAACAAAAAAAAAACTGATTTATATATATTTTTTGCTTATATTTTTATAAGCTTTCCTTACATAACATTATGTCAAAAAAAGAAAATTATTTTTTTCTTAATAAACAATGATAAAAATAATCTCAATGGTAATTTCCGTACGAAATTTAATTCTTCATAAAATTGACCTGATATAAAATTTTCCTCAGTTTTACGATTGAAAAAGTATGAACTCGATAAGATCATTTTTTAATTTTTAATATCGTTGTCGCTTTTAAATAATTAAAACATACAGAGTGGGATTCATGTCAGTCATAAATAAATTTAGTAAAAAAAAAAAAATTTTTATTAGTCAAATTAAAGACTTAAGCACTTGAAATAATCTCCAGTACTATTAAAGATAAATATTAAGTAACAATAAAACATTATTATCCTAAAAATTTAATAATGTGGAGTTATGACTATTAGTTTCAAATGAAAACTGTTAAGTAGGCCATCTTCGTTGGTGAGCTGCGCTGTCTAGTGGAGATTTATCATCCAAAACAGCTTTAAAGTTTTTATTTGCGCTTGGCTTGTTGTCATAATAGATACACGCAAGCGCGTGTGATTTTTAAGCTTTTTGCGCGTGCGTAAACAGTCATTCAAATTCTATTAATTCCCGGGAAGTGTCTTGATTGTCTGCTAACCCGATTGCATGGAGCTTTTTTTCCATTAACCTTATTGTTGTTTCAATAAAAATTTTTCAACACTCATGCAGAAAGTTCAACAGTGAGTTGATAAATACCTGTTGTAAATTATAGTAAAATAAAAATAAAATTAAATAATCAATATTATTTCTGCTAAAGACGCAGTGATATTCAATAGCTCAAGATGTAACCCAGATGACAACAGTTGGAGCCTGCGCTTTACATAAATTATTTTAGTTTCTCTGAAATGTCTGTTTTTATCACAAGTAACAAATAAATACAACAAAAATAACAAGAAAACTATTCTTACCACGAGTTGCCGATTAAAATGTGATAATAAAAATGTGGATTAATATCCTAATGATAGTAAGAGATAATAATTACGATGGTCTTTCAGTAAGCGAACTATTTTTGAATTCAAACCATCGATTCAAGAAAATTTCTTGAATTTCAGCTACTGATCCGAATGAGACATTGTAAGATATAAGTTTATTCTGAACCTCCGATCATTAGTTACCTCGCGGGTGTCGTTTTCTAGTAATAGTCAGTAGTGATGCGCCGACGCGTCGAGAATAGGTGGTGTAGTTATTAAAATCGTGGTGGGCAAACGGGTAATGAGTTTGTTCAGCGTGGAGCTGAACGTATATCGGTGGTGGAAATTACGTGGTAGCTTTCACAAGAGGGCGCTTTGAGAAGACAAGGACAACGAAAAATCTACGTCAGGAAAAGCTCAATGCTTATTGGTCCCGGTGCATTGTTACGTATTGATTGCCGCAGAGTGTGTTAGTTGTGTGGTGGCACTATTTTATTATCGTCATAGTAGTCGTAGTCATCGTCGTCGTCATCCTCGTTGTTGTTGGGAATCACTTGATCGTCGTCGTCGAACTCGGTGACGGTTATGGCGAGGTGGCGTCTAGTCAAGTCAACGTGATAATAACTTAAATATTAATAAAATAATCTTAATACCCTAAACTAAATAAAAAAACATTAAACAAATACAAAGTAGTCGAATAATTATAAAGTTATTTCATTAATTTTTTTTTATTTTTGTTTTAATTATCAGCAAACATTTGAGATAAGTGGTAATCAGTTAACATGTCTGCCTTGAATTAAACGTGAGCTATAGGTGGCTGTGTACTTGGAAAAAGTGGTAAAGGTCGGCTTTAAGACAGCAACACATTTGATAGTTGATTAGTTGATATTCGTATACAATAAACCCTTGTTGCCGTGCTGAAGTAGTGGGAGAATAAAACGGCACCACCGTCGACGAGGGTGGGCACTAGTGGTGTATGTCAGTAGTGTGTCAGTCGTGCTTTGCTAGTTGTGCTTCAATACAAGTGGTGGTTAAATTGATAAGTATCATAAGTTGGTGGTGGTGCTGGTGGTGCTGGCTTTGTCAGTAGTGGTGACTAGTGGAATAGGAGCTTTTTCTCGGTTATTATACGATCCACGTTTGTGACCTCCTTTGTCCACGCGTGAAGGCCATCAGTTGATGTTTTAGTTGTCATACCAGCGGGTGGTCTATCGTCTATCGTCTAATGATAATAATAGATTGATAGATTGATATAGTGGTAAAAAACCGTGCATCACGTTATAAAATTATTTTAACGTCTTTTAATTTTACATTGTATTAGATCATTAATAATATTATTATTTTTATTATTATTATTATTATTATTATTATTATTATTATTATTATTATTATTATTATTATTATTATTATTATTGTTGAAATAAAACTGGTGCACGCAACAGTCACGACGTGGACATACTCATCGTCGTGATTGTCTTCGCGCATTCGTCAACTTCCGGGTCACCGCACCAGGGTTAAACGTGGCGCTGGCTATGCCTTTTTATATCAACATCATCATCATCATCATCATCATCGGTGTCATAACTTATGACGTTGTTTTGTAGTTAAATGGAAGATATTATTGCTATTGCCTCACAATAAATAAGTTACTGAGGCCTTAATAATAAACCTTTGAATAAAATCGAAGAAAAAGATAAGTCAAGCCAGTTGTTAATAAGAATAATAATAATAAGGTAATTCTGGTGATAAATATATTGTGAGGAAAGTGGTAATTGTAAGATAGCCTACCTGGAATAAATTATGAAGCATCATCGTATCAAACGTATTATTTTAATAATAAGAGTGGCTGGTGATAGGGGCCGGTGAATGTGTGATCCGGGGGCAGAGATCTGCTGGAATGACGTGCGACGAGACGACCGAGCAGCCTCCGGTAGACGAATGCCTCCTGGAACGGAAATGGTGGTGCTTTATACTATCAAGCATCTTCACATTTCTCGCCGGGCTGTTGATCGTCTTGCTCTGGCGAGCATTTGCCTTCCTTTGGTGTCGAAAGGAGCCGGAATTCGCTCCAAATGACCCAAAGCAAAAAGAACAGAAGGCTGCTCGCCAGAGCAAGGAGTTCGAAGGTACGTTTATGACCGAGGCTAAAGATTGGGCTGGTGAACTTATCTCTGGACAAACTACTACTGGTCGAATTCTGGTAAGTTCGTATATTATATTTTTATTGATTTTTTGTTGTTATTTTTGGGGAAAATTAATTTAATTTTGTATTGGGGTGGTTCTCAATGATAGATTAGTTCAGTAGGGGATTCTTTTATGTCGATTTTATTGATGTCCATAGGGATATTTTTTTTTTTCTTCTTAATTTGTTTAAAGTCGCATAAACTACTAAGGTCATGAGCGACTACGGTAGGGGGTAAACTTTTGAGATTGGAACTCGTTTTATTTCTTGGGCTGAGCAGTATAATACACTTAAATATTGAAAATATTCATTGGTGTACGCCGGACTCGAACCCGGTCCAATGCTTTGGTAAGCAAGGGCCGGATCCGATAGGCTACTGCGCGCCTCATAGGGATATTATTACATTTATTTCCTTAAAAAACACCATTTAGTTTGTGCTATATAGAAGTGTCGATATATTTTACTCGTTAGTCTTCATTTCGGGCTCTCTCTATTTTACTCGAGTGTGCTATTTATCTTGAATAGGAGATGTGCAATCTCGAAATTCTCTCGGGTATATCACGAAGACTAGGCGACATCAAATTAATGTCCACATAAATTCCCCTTCGTGTTTGAACGATGCTGAAATTTTACAATCTTTAAATTAACTTTTAGCTGAGATTAAATTAGACTCTCTTTCAATTAACTTAACTTGGAAATTTTCTCACTCCTTCGAGTAATTGGAAAAATATCATTTAAATAAAGTAATTTTTGTTGTACCGAGTTTAAGTTGTAGTTATTTTAGAGTAAAATTTTTTCAATTTACGGAAAACCACTTTTAAGTTAGCTAGCTGGAATTTGTAGTCGTAGTTGAATCTTCAAAAAATTAAATGGGATTAGTGGCTCGCAAAAAACTTCGATCTTT